AGTGCCCATGTGTACACCACCCCACCATACCCTATTGTGCCTCACTCCCACCCTCTTGGGCGAAAGGGGCCCTGCCCAGCCAGCAGCAGCTTCTGGGCAGGGCTCCTGTTGCAGCCACCCCATGAGACTAAGCTTGACTTCCTGGAAGTCAACTCACTCAGGACAGCCAGTAGGGAAGCAGCGGGGCTGGTAGAGGGTGTGGTTGGAGTTGCAACTTGGTGAAAGTGTGGAGCACAGCATGGAACCTGTGCCCAGGGGGATAGCAGAAGTGTGCAGCTTGGCTGCGGAGGGTGAGGGGTGTAGGGACCCCCCCCATGGCGTGCAGCCCTCACTGCCAGCAGAAGCAGCCCACAGGGAGGTCAGGGTTTTCCTGCTTTGTGCAGGCACCTGGTGGGTCCAGCCAGTGCTGCGGGGGGGCGGAGAAGAGTGCAACCTGTTCAGCTGACTCTATCACTGGGGCTCTGTGCTGCAGGCCTGCAGCTCCAGAACTCTCAGCAGGGGAAGCCATGCACTGGAGCCTGCTGCCTTCCCCGTCTACTGCTGCACCGGTCCTCGCACTCTGGTGAGAGTGGAGGGAGCCCTGCCCCCTGCTTCCCCATGGAGTCCAGCGTGGGGTTTCCCCACTGCAAGAATGGGAGCTGTAGGTGCACCACACTGAGCCCCTGTGATCAAGGTGGCCAACACTGTGCTTGGGGCCCCTGATTTGGTCTTTCACTTCTCAGGATTTGCCTTGATACAGTTTTTGTTATGCATCTATTTGTTTTATGATTCTTTTTGATGTTATAAGACATGCATTCCATTTGCCAAAGCCTCCTACTGGGCACATACATTGGAAAGCTGTGCTGGAAATGAAGTGTATTGTTGGTCCAATAAAAGATAACACCCACAAAAATCCTTGCCCCTGGAAATTAAACTTATTTGTGGTGTGAGGACCATGAGAGGTCTGCCTTTGAGGAGCTAAAGGGCTACCATGAATTGTTCAGTCTACAAAAGGGACATGGGCATTATTGTAGTGCCGTCTCAGTGCAATTAAAGTCTCAAGTCATTTCTTAGTGAATCATGTCTCAGTGCATAAAGGCAAATGGAACAGATACCTAATGCTCCGATACAGTGCTACAAGGCACCCTCTTACTAAATGTTGAAGTACATAAAACAACTTTTGGCCCTCCCAAATGGCTTTTATAGGGCCAGAATGATTCACAGAGTGTGTACATATGCTAATCGTATGTGTATGTGCACATACAGTACAGAGAAATCCTTAAATTTTAAGCTCTTAGGGCAGGGACGCTTCTGCAGTAGTACAATAGCTAGTACAGTGGGGTTTTGGATAGAAAAGTTAAAATTAAATTAAAAACCTCTCTAAAATGTCTGGCTCTGCTGCTTATATATGTAATGATTTACAGTCTGGTATCGCTGACTTTTTCAGTTAGAACCAAGTGCATGTCCCATTGTATGAAAGTTCTCTGCCTATTTCCAGTAGTAAAAAGCTCCTGTTCCTAGCTGTTCAAGGTGCTCAAGCTTGTCTTTAATGTGTGAAGGACTGATGCCTACCCTGGACCTCAGGGTGAGGGATGGGGA